GTTGAGCCCTCCTCTAATATAGCTGGCTGGCAGGCACCATCTTTCCTGTGCTGAGCTCTCCCCCACATGGCCAAGTCAAAATCTGCATTAGCCTGATGAACTCTACTTGCTCCACCCTCACTACTCCCTGAGACTCCACCCCACCCAACTCCCAATCCATCCCAGTCTCTTTTAGAGGCAGGCAGCCAGCCTTGGCCTATAACAGTCTTAAAAAGCTCTAGAGGAGTTCCAGTCAAGCTTGGAGGGCACCAGAGACATATGGGGAGAAACCCATTTGTGTGGCTTTAGGGTAAAGGCCACCATTGTCCCTGTGTTGAGCCCTCCTAGCAAATGACCAAATCTGAATCTGCATTAGCCTTGTGAACTCACTTGATCTACCCTGATGACTCCCTGAGACTCCAATCCACCAGAAAGGTCGTAGGCTCAGGCAGGTGGTGACTGGTCTTAGTGTACACTGTGACTTTTGATGAGTTGCCTCGGGCTCCACACTAGCACCAAGTCTGAATCTAGATTAACCTGACTAACTCCACCCAACTTGCATACCACCCCAGGCTTTTTCATAGGTTGAGCCTTACAGGCAACAGGCAGGCAACAGCAGGTCTCAGGGTGCCTTGTGACTTTTGCTGACCTGCCCCAGGCCCAGCACTGGTGGCAGCTGCCTTCTTTTCACAGCATGAACTTTCCCATGTGCATCCAGGTCCAGCAGAGGCAGCTACCAAGTGCAGATCATTTAGTAGCTCCTAACAGGTAGACCCAGGCCAGTCCCAGGCAGCATCTGACATTGGCCTGCACCAGAGACTCTCCCAAGAGGCCTCAGAACCAATACTCCCAATGGCCAGCTTCAAACCACATCAGAGCACCACCTGATTAGTGTGACAAATGGCACATCCAAAGGGTGGTCTAAGCAGGCACCACACACTACAGGGGCAAATCCTGCTCTGTCAGGTAAACTCCCACACAGCAACTCGTATGCTGTAGTCATGGCTAATACTCACAGCCAGTCATCCTGAGGATCAATCCCACTCACTGACTTGCCAACAGTAATCAAGGCTCAACTACAGCAGGAGGGTACACACAACCCACACAAGGGACTCTCCTAAAGCACCCAGCTCAGATGATCAGGGAGTGTGCACCACAGGGCAAGACAGGGTACCTACTACATAAGGCCACACTGTGAAGGCAGAAAGACTTAGTAGGTCTAACTAATAGAGAAACAAACACAGAGAGGAAACCAAAATGAGGAGACAAAGAAACATATTCCAAATGAAACAACAAAAGAAATCTCCAGAAAAATAACAAAATAAAATGGAGAAAAGCAACCTACCAGATACATAATTCAAAACACTGGTTACAAGAATGCTCAAGAAACTTAGAACTTCAACAGAGAGAGTAAGCATAAAAAAGGACACAGAAACCATAAAAAGGACCACTCAGAAATGAAGACTACAATAACTGAAATGAAGAGTATACTAGAAAAAAATCAACAGCAGATTAGATGAAGCAGAAGATCAATTCAGTGATTTGGAAGACAAGGTAGCAGAAAACATTCAATCAGAGCAGCAAAAAGAAAAAAGAATTTAAAAAATAAAAATAGTTTAAGAGACCTCTGATACAACATCAAGCATAACAACATTTGCATCATAGGGAAAACAGGAGGGGAAGAGAGCAGGGATTGAAATACTATTTGAAGAAATAATAACTGAAAACTTCCCTATCCTCGCAAAATAAAAGAACACATGAGTTCAAGAAGCACAGAGTCCCAAACAAGATGAACCCAAAGAGGCCCACAGCAAGACACATCATAATGAAAATGCCAAAGGTTAAAGACAAAGAGAGAATCTTAAAAGCAGCAAGACAAAAGCAATTAGTTACCTACAAGGGAGCACCCATATGACTGTCAGCTGATTTCTCAACAGAAACCTTCCAGGCCAGAAGGAAGTGCCTAGAAATATTCAAAGTGATGAAAAACAAGAGCCTGCAACCAAGATTGCTCTACCCAGCAAAGCTATTATTTATAATTGAAGGTCAGATAAAGAGCTTCTCAGATAAGGAAAAGCTAAAGGAGTTCATCACCACTAGACCAGCACTACAGGAAATGTTGAAGGGTCTTCTTTAAGAAGAAGCTAATGAACAAAAGAACTTGACGAACTAAATAGATCCAGAGACACTGATGCATGTAACAGATGATCATATTTCAGAGGAAAGAGGGAAGGGGGTGGAGGGTGGGAAGAGATTAACCAAAGAAGTTATAGGCATATATGCATAACCCATGGACACAGACAATAACGGGGTGAAGGCCTGGGGAGCAGGTGGGAGCAAGGTGGAGGAGGTCAATTGGGGGGACAAATTGGACACCTGTAATACTTTCAACAATAAAAATAAATTAAAAAATAATAATACCATATACAATTACATAAAATAAAATTTAAAAAACTTGGCAATGAATTTAACCAAGGAGGTAAAAGACCTGTACTCAAAAAACTATAAGACATCGAAGAAAGAAATTGAAAAAGATACAAATAAATGGAAGCATATACCATGGTCAAGGATAGGAAGAATTAACATCATTAAAATATTTATACTATTCAAAGCAATCTATAGATTTAATGCAATCTCTATCAAAATAGCAATGGCATTTTTCACAGAACTAGAAGAAATAATTCTAACATTTACATGAAACCACAAAAAAGTCCTGAATAGCCAAGGCAATCTTAAGAAGAACAAAGTTTTAGATATCATGCTACCTGACAGCAAACTGTACTACAAAGCTATACTAATCAAAGCAGCATGATACTGGCATAAAAACAGACATAGAGATTGATGGAACAGAATAGAGAGTCCAGAAATAAACTCATGCCTATGTGGTCAATGACAGAGGATAAAAATATACACTGGACTAAAGATGGTTTATTCAATAAATAGTGTTGAGAAAATTGGACAGATACATGCAAAAAAAAAAAAAAAAAGAAATTAGATCACATTCTTACAACACAGAAGAATAAACTCATAATGGATTAAAGACTTAAATGTAAGCCCCCAAACAATAAAACTCCTAGAAAAAACATAGGCAGTAAACTGTCTAACATTGCTCTTAGAAATATATTTTCTGATATATCTCCACAAGCAAGAGAAACAAACAAAAAGGAATAAACAAATAGGACTACATTAAACTAAAAAAGTTTTGCACAAGAAAAAGAAAAAAAAAATCAAGAAAACAAGAAGACAACTTATTAATCAGAAGAAGATATTTGCCAGTGATACATCTGATAAGGGGTTAATATCCAAAATTTATAAAGAACTCATACAACTGAATAAAAAGACAAACAATGCAAAAAAAAGTGGGCAGAGGACCTGAATACACATTTCCCCAAAGATGACATACAGATGGCTAATAGACATATGAAAAGATGCTCAAAATCACTAACCATCAGAGAAATGCAAATTAAAACCACCATGAGATATCACCTCACACCTGTCAGGATGGCTATCATCAATAATCAATAAACAACAAGCATTGGCTAGGATGTGGAGGAAAGGGAACCTTCGCTCACTGTTGGTAGGAATACAATTGGTGCAGCCACTATGGAAAACAGTATGGAGGGTCCTCAAAAAATCAAAAATAAAACTACCTTATGACCCAGCTATTCTACTTCTGGTTATTTATCCAAAGAAATTCAAAACGCTAATTCAGAAAGATATATATATATATTCCTTATGTTCATTGCAGCATTATTTACAATAGTCAAGACATGGAAGCAACCTAAGTGCCCATTAATAGGTGATTGGTTGAAGAAGAGGTAGTACATATACAATGGAATATTACTTGCCATAAAAAATGAAATCTTACAATTTGAGACAACATGGATGGACCCTAAGGATATTATGTTAAGTGAAATAAATCAGACAGAGAAAGACAAATATTGCATTATTTTATTTGTATGTGTAATCAAAAGAACAAAACAAAGAAACAAACACACAAAAAAAACAGAAACAGGCTCATAGATACAAAGACTAGACTGATGGTTCCTATAAGGAAGGGGGAGGTGGAGGGCTGGGTGAAAAGGTGAAGGATTAATAAGTACAAATTGATAACTAAAAAATAGTACTGGAGATGTAAAATACAGCATAGGGAATGTAGTCAATAATATTGTAATAACTATGTGTGGTTCAAGGTGGGTACTAGGATAATCAGTGGGATCACTTTGTAAACTATATAAATACTTAACCACTATGGTGTAGACCTGAAACTAATATAAAATAATATTCAATGTCAACTATAATTGAAGGATAAAAATATTAAATTTAAAAATGTGACTAAACAGCAAAAAAATGAGAAAGCTTTCTTTTAAGAGCAGTTTCCCTACAATTCCACATGATAGATCATATTAGTCAGAGATGTGGCAGACATGTTTTCTGGGCTATTTAATTGAGAAGATGAAAAAGATGGAATTCCTGCTTTTTATGGTGGTTTTGATCACAATCATGACCATATTGATGAACAAAATAAAACATATCTCTGATTATAGTGAAACTGTTTTTATTTTTTTATTTAGCTGTTCAGAATTATATTGTGCCTTCTCTGTATCTGATGATGTACTGTTAAAAGTGGAGGAACAAATCATGGACACACACCAGGTGTACTCCAGCAGCACTTTTTAAGTACAAGAATGACACTGGTACAGCCAGAAATTAAGATCTCCTTGAATCACCAAGGAATTCTGGTTAATTCCAGTTAAATGCCAAACCAATTATAGAATAAAAATTCAAGTTCTGCTATTAGAACATAGCAGAACAAGCTCCATTAGAACATAATATCAGACTATCAATAGAGTTAACCTGCAGAAATCAGTCTTTCCATCCTGTTTTTCAGCTAAGATTCAAGTTGGCTGAGCTCTTTTGATATCTCCAGCATTTATTTTGACCTCAGATACCTCTCGTTTACGTTTTGTTTTCTGCCCTCCTTACTATCCGATATACTTCACTCTGCTCCTCCATGTCAACACCCCCATCATTATACCAACAGCTTCTTCTCACATATACTGTATGCGGGCACACTGCAAAGCTGGTCATAAATTACTGACATGTGGATCCATACACAATTGTGAGATGAGGTTTCCTGGGTAACTGTGCTTCTGATTTGAAACCTGTTAAAATAAAATACAATGAGGTAAGTAGAACAAACATAAGGAATACTATCTACTGTTCACACAATGCTGAAATAAGTTGGTGACGATATTGGTGAAAAGTTTCTGAATTGTCTACATTATTGGAAAAGGAGACTTGAATTTAGATCGTATTAGTTCTCAAATTAACATATCCCTTATTATTAAGAAATGACTGAAAAATGTTTTTTTATTAAATTTATTGGGGTGACATTGGTTAATAAAACCATACAGGTTTCAAGCGTACAACCCTAAAAACCATCTGCATACTGCACTGTGCACTCACCATCCAAAGTCAAGCCTCCTTCCTCCACCATTTCCCCCTTTTCCCTCTTCTCCTCCCATCCCCCTTTCCCTCTGGCAATCATCATACTGGTGTCTGTGTCTGTTTTGGAAGGGTTTGTTTTGTTTTTTTGCTTAATCCCTTCACTTTTTTCACCCAGCTCCCCTATGACAGTTGTCAGTCTCTTCTCTGTATCTATGAGTCTGTTCTATTTTGCTTGTTAGTTTATTTTCTTCATTACATTCCACATACAAGTGAAATCATATGGTATTTGCCTTTTTCTGACTGGCTTATTTCACTTAGCGTAATGCTCTCCAGGTCCATCCATACTGTTACAAATGGTAAGATTTCCTTCTTTTTTATGGCCGAGTAGTATTCTATTGTGTCAGTGTACCACAGCTTTTTGATCCCTTCATCCACTGATGGGCACTTGGGCTGCTTATGTTTTTAAGAAATACTACTAGTTGCATAAAATTAAAGCTTCTGACAAAAGAAATATTCTATAGACAGCTCTTTGCTTATCTCTCAAACTCTTACTTAGAAGTATAATTATCAAATAAAACAACAGTTTAGTGAAGTTATTATTGGATATATTAGTGAGTAGACCAAGAAGAGTTATTGCTGGCCAGCTTGTGAGGTTCAGTGGTTGAGCATCGACCTATGAACCAGGAGGTCATGGTTTGATTCCCGGTCAAAACACATGCCCTGGTTGAGGGCTCGATCCCCAGTAAGGAGCATGCAGGAGGCAGCCAATCAATGACTCTCTCATCATTGATGTTTCTATCTCTCTCTCTCCCTCTCCCTTCCTCTCTCTGAAATCAATAAAAACATATTTAAAAAAATTATAGCCTTAAATGTACATATTTGAGAAAAAGGGTGAATTACAAGAGTTAAGCATCCATTAAAAAAAACCTGTTGCCTACACACATACACACACACACACACACCCCAATAATAGAAACATAAAAGGAGAATATAATTTCATATTGTGCAGATATTAAGAAAAAAACAAATGACAATTGCAGTAAGGAAGATTTTAACACTTAGTGATGGTTAATTTAATATGTCAGCTTGACTGGTCACACCCATATTCAACATTATCTTTGATTGTCTATGAGGATGTTTCTGGATGAAATTAGTGTTTGAATCAGTGAACTCAGTAGAGCACTTTGCCCTCTCCAATGTGGGTGGGCCTCATCCAATCTGTTGAGTGCCTAGATAGAACAAAAAGGCGAAGGAAGAAAGAAACTATGTCTTTCTTCTCGCTTCACTGTGTGAGCTAAGACATCTCAGCTCAGCTCAGCTTTTCTTGCCGTACCACTGGGTTTTATACCACCCGCTCCTCTGGTGCTCAGCCCTTTATATTTGGAGTGAATCATACCAAATTCCTGGGTCTCCAGCTTTCAGAGGGCAAGTCATGGGACTTTTCAGTCTCCATAATCATGTGAGTCAGTTCCTCATATTAAATCTCCATATGTGAATTCTTCCTCATTGTGTGTGTATTAAGGATCTCCACAGAAGATCTATATAGATCTCCTATTGGTTCTGTTTCCCTGAAAAACCCTGATTGATACCCATGCAATGGGGAAGAATTTGTAACCATGCAAGTGTGAAATGTTTAAAAGAACTTTATAAAATATGCAATGCAGTTGCTTTTATAATGAATGATAATAGTATGTATTACATGTTTACTCTGTGCAAGACACTGTGCTGAGTGATTTTACTTTTATTTCCTTTATCTCAAAATCCTAAGAGGTAGCTACTATTTTTATTCTTATTTACAGATGATGAAAAAGAGGCCCTGGTAGGTTTAAGCAACTCATCCAATTTCACATGTGAGTGGGCTGATTATTGATTCAAGCTGAGACATAACTCTGAAGCCCATGCTACTAACCACAGTTTCACACTAACCAACAGTGACTGCTCCTTACTGAACAACATCAAACAGGTGGCAGATGCTCTCCTGGTGAAAAAGCTGAGGGAATAATTGTGTCAATAGCACTAGATGGCAGCTCAGTTCTTTTCAACTATAGAGTCCTCTACCACCCTCTTCTTTTCTTTTTTTCCCCAGCTTACTTTTCTTTCTCCCCATTGCTATTCATGGTTGTCTTTGTCTTTCTTATATATGGTCAAAAAATTCAGATTCTTAACTGCTTGACATGCTCTTCCCTTTCTGAGAAAGGGTATGAGACTTTGTCTCTCTAGATACTTACAAGTTAGAAGAGAACTCAGAGCCATCCTCCCAGAGCCATGGTCCTGCAGTCTGAAGGCGGGAGAGCCCTATCCAAAATGAATTATCAGGTTGGGAAGACATTTGCTTTTGTATAAATTCCTGTAGGGAAACATAAATACAAATACATGTCAAGAAGAGAGAGAGACAAACAGAGATGATAGAGATGGAGTGACAAAGACAGAGAAGAGACAGAGAGATGCTCTTATAGACACTGGGACAGAGACAACATATTGAATCACCTTTATGAAGGATGCATGCATACACTGGCATCAGCCTTGAGAGAAGTGCCAATTCTTGAATGCCACTAAGTGTCTCAAAAGGCATATTTCATTTCTTCAGAGTCATTATTGTTTAATTTTCCACAAAGAATTTATCTATGTCAAAATTGTACTGCCTCCATTCAATCTACCTGACAAATTCCAAGGACAACAGGTCCCCTAGGCAATTTTCATGGATGATTGGTCACTATCATTTCCTCAAATTGAAAATATAAATTTATAAGACCTTTGTCAAGAAATGCTTCTCAGAGTTAGATGACAACTTAAAAATAATTTAGTCTAACTGCATGTTTTATGAACAAGTAATCTGGGGTTTAATGATGATATTTGAATTGTTGACAAATATAGTACATATTGTGGCAATTACAAGAAGGTCTAAAAGCCAGGCAGACTTCCAGCTCCTTTCTTTTTCTTTGCCATACATGTACTTTCATTAATTCCCATGTGAACTACAACTGTTGAGTAAGATAAGACAGAAACAAAAAAATTGAGAGTAGTGAAAATTAATGTAGGAATTATAAATTGTTTAGATTTATACTGTAGAATGTTTCCTGACTACTAACCCTTCTTATAGCCCATCTACATTAGCGCTTTCATTCATGATGCATTGTAAGTCCCAACTTTTCTGTAAAACTTTTTATGTCCACAGGGCTCTCTCTGAATTCCTATTACATTTGTTGCCAATATCAAATATTTAACTTTTTAAAAAAATCTTCACCTGCGGATATGTTTTTGTTGATTTTAAAGAGATGAAGGGGAGGAACATCGATGTGAGAGAAACATCCATCAGTTGCCTCCCCTTTGCACCCTGACCAGGGATCAAAACCACAACCTAGGTATGTGCCCTGACCAGGAATTGAACCTGCAACCTTTTTGGTGATGATGCTCCAACCAACTGAGCCACCTGGCCAAGGCCCAAATATGTAAATTTTAACAGCTGTTGTTTCTTTTTTCTTACAAATTATATGAGCATTGCAATATCAAGTTTACTTTTTAAACCCCTTTGCCTTTTCCAGTATCTTGTAAGGAGTAAATGATGTGTAAATGTATATTATCATTGCAGCTATTTTTCTTAATAATTATGATGGCCCTGGGGAAAATGTTCTATCACTGAATTTTAAAATTTATATCCAAACCCACAAAAGTGAGTAGTGGCCTGATTATTATAGCCATGAAAACTTGTAGTGTATTCAAAAGGATTTGTTTTAAAATATATTTTGCTTACTTTTTAGTTAACTAATTAAAATGAAAAGCATAAATTATAAACATGACCCACTTGTTGCATGCTGTTATTATAATTATGGAAAATAATAAAAATTACTTTTTCTTAGGGAAGATTATCATTACCTGGAATCTACCTCTATTTTTCTGCTTAATATAGACCACAGACAATTATAACTGAAATCTACACTTACCAATTCTTTTGAACTATCTATTTTCAGGAGATTAGAGCCCAGTTGAGAGCATTGTGTTTTACTTCTATTCCAAGAATCCACTTTTGTGACAAATAGATAACAGCTATTCTCATGTGTAATCCAGTTAGGGGGACAAGAGCTGGAAAACACTCCTGGAAATAGAAGATAAATATGATGAGGTTCATATACCATTTTACTCTTTCAGTGCAAGCATCATCCATCATGAGGACACAATAAATAATTAATAAATTGCCATTAAAATATTCCATTTTCTATTCAAACTATAAGAATATGACTTTAGCCTGGCCAGTGTGGCTCAGCAGTTGAACATCGACCTATGATCCAGGAGATCACGGTTTGATTCCCAGTCAAGGCACATGCCCGGGTTGCAGGCTTCATCCCCAGTAATGGGGTGTGCAGGAGGCAGCCGATCAATGACTCTCTCACTGTTGATGTTTCTATCTCAGTCTTTCCCTCTCCTTTCCTCTCTCTGAAATCAATAAAGACATATTTTTTAAAAAATGAGTAAGACTTTACAAAAAAGGCCATATTAAAATGCCCCCATTTATTTAAAGCTTAAAAATGAATTAATTATAANAGTAAGGCTTTACAAAAAAGGCCATATTAAAATGCCCCCATTTATTTAAAGCTTAAAAATGAATTAATTATAAAAGTGTTTTAGACAGTCAACCTTCCTTTCTTTCTTGTCTATCATTCCTTCAAATGCAGCCCAGAACTCCCTTTCTTCAAAACTCTTAAAATAAATTAACTCAAAATCAATCATTGAGTTATACAGTAATTTCATGTTAACTTATTTTACAGGTGTGAGATCCATTTCAGAAGGCAATTTTCCAAATGAGAAAAGAATAAGAACAATTATTCACATTACAGAGTATTTCTGTTTTGTATTATTAGCTACTTGATACAAGTCAGGAGGCAGGATGTATTCAAAGATGGAAAATTGAAGTCAAAATGTTGTCATAGTCAATTATGATGCAATTAGAAGTAAAGATCAAGTGTATGTAAAATTATAGTGAAATTATATGATGAAAGAAAAATAAATTTAACCAGAGTTTTCTATTAGGTCTATCTCTTCTACATGTGTGTAATTTAGCCTCTTAATTCTCACCAACATTTTTCTTTCATTCTTATATCACTTTAAAATGTCAGTTCCCCAAGGGCAGAGAGTATATTTAAAACTATACGATCTCCTATAGGCCTAAACACATAGACAGGGATAAATTAGTTACTGCTTTGAGAAAAAAAAAAAATCTAGCTTAGAACTGTTCAGTCAAGTGCATGGGTATTTATGATAAAACTTTATTGTATATATGACAGAGGCATATTAGACTGAGATAATACTGATGTGTGCTTTCTTTGAATGTAAAATCACTGCATGTAAAAGTGCTTCCCCCCCCCTTCCATGTCATAACAATAATAATTAACCCTCCTGGATCTAGAATTCCATTAATCATTTAACTTTGCCCTTGCCTGTGGTTGTGAGAGTCTTGGGAGAAGTCACACTCTCTTGTAAAGATGATTGTGTGGGTTGACTGTGATTCTCTTTATTTCTTGATGGAACATTGTCATTCTTCAATGGGTTGCTTCCTGAATTGGATCTCCAAAGACCTTCACATACCAACAACAATAGTGACAAAAGGGTCATTCTACTATGTTTGAAAATTTAAATTCCAAAATCTATATTTTTGTTGTAATGTAAAGACTAATTCAAGATAGTATATGCACTCCATGTTCACTGCAGTCTTATTAACAATAGTCAAGATATGGAGCAACCCAAGTAACCATCAATAGACAAAAAACGTGGTACATATATACAATGAAATATTACTTGGCCATAAAAAGAATGAAATCTTAGAGGGTATTACCCGGCCGGGCATAGCTCAGCGGTTGAGCATCAACCTAGGATCTAGGAGATCGTGGTTTGATTCCTGGTCAGGGCACATGCCAGGGTTGCGGACTCAATCCCCAGTTGGGGGCGCGGGAGGCAGCCGATCAATGACTCTCATCACTAATGTTTCTCTCTCTCTCTCTCTCCCCCCCTCCCTTCCTCTCTCTGAAATCAATAAAGATATATATATTTTTTTAATGAAAATTAATAGCACCAATTCAATAGGGTTAATACACAGACTAAATTAGATTATGCATGTCAAGCTTTTAAAAGAATGTCTGGCACATTATAAATGCGTGTTAAGTATTTGTTGTTGTTAACCTTCCCCAGTAGTACTCACCCATTGTACCCAGGACCACAGCTATCACCAGTGTTACCAAGCATAGGATTCCCAAACCTATAGCAATGGAACGCCAAGGAAGAGATGCAGCAAAAGATCCTGATGGAGTCAGAAGGAAAAAGACTGAATGAAGAAATAGGATGACAGGTGGATTGTGGAGCACTTCAATTCTACAAATCCAAATCTGTCAAATTCTAAAGTGAACCATTAATCATTGACACCCAGGTCATCTAGTTAGCTAGGTTTAGTCTGAATTTTTCCCCACCTTTAGCATGCCTCTTGGAGTTCTGGAACTGCCTTTATAACTTTGCACTCCTGATTTCAGTTCCACATTGATGTCTACAGGTCTCGACACTACCAGGATTCCTGAAATCCCACTCATTCTTAGAAGAGTCAGCTTACTGCAGGGGAAATAACCCTGATTACTAAGGATGATCTACCCTTTTTATGTAGGAGCTGTATGACTTTGGGCAAATTACTTCCTTTGCTTTTTAAAAATTTCTCTCTGAGAAAAATGGGGCCATAACACTGAAAAGGATTATTGTGGGAATTAAACAAGCTAACACATGGAAAAGCACCTAGATTAGAGACTATTAGCAAATTATAGATAACTCACTGTCTGCATATATGCATAAACACACACACCACACACGCCTCCCTACCTCTTACATCATCCAGTTTCCCTCAACAGGTTGCCCAAGAAAAGAATTGTGTAAGTGGAGAGAGCAAAATAATTGTGCAATGTGAGCAACCAGAAAGCATAAGAAGCAAATTCTGATGCCAAAACCTGAGAATAATCTCTCTCTTGATAATAGGGAACTCATTTCATGTTAACATCACCACACCAAGAACATAGTTTTGCCTTTGACTGAGAATCCCAGTAAGAGCATTTCAGAGAGTTGTCAGATAGAAGAATTATGGAGGAGACTAAATGGCTCATTCTAGGAAGAGAAAGATCTCTTAATGCTCTTCTCTGTATTTCACTTCTTTTATATTTTGTTTTAAACTCATGTCTTACTAATAGGATCTTTTCATCTAAAACATATATTTTTCTTTGCTGGTATACAAAGAATTCTTTTTGTTTAAAAAAAAAAAAATCCAAATCAAGCACTTACCACACACACACACACACACACACACACACACACACACATCAGATTCAGGGTTCTAAATTCTATAACTTTCAACTTCCCTTTGGCATTTACCACAAAATCACAAGCTTGTTTTCATCCGTCACTTATCTTCCATCTTTTCATTCTTCTCTTTCTTATTGCCAATATCCTGATGTGGTTTATGTACACACTTCTTTAAGTGTCCTTGACCTCCGTTCTACAATTTCCTTCTATCAAACAAACAAGTCACTCCTATTGAAATTTTTTCATCTTTGCAGTTCATCATACTTACTACCAGCTCCCTACTGCTGACCTGTTTCTGTAGAACAGATGTTGTATTTTCTGTCATCATCATAATTAATTTAAATCAGGGGTGGGGAAAGTCCGGCCCACAAAATCATTTGGTCTGGTCCTGCCAAGGCAACCGCAGGCGGGACTCAAAATTCAATAAACAGCTTTTTTCATAGCTAGTCATTAAGTTGATAATTTTGTATGGCCTGTGAATGTTATAAATATCCAAATGGCCCTTGGCAGAAATAATTAGTCACTGAATGTTTGCCATGAGAAAAGGTTTAGTGCACATTCAAATAATCTTCAGTGGCTTCTGAAAACCTTTTAAAATATATTAATAAAACCCCTACAATCACAAGCCTTCAAAGTTTTTCCACTTAAGTATTTCAGTTGATGAGAATGAAAATGTTGAAGGCAGAAAGAAAAATACCTTTCTCTGAGGACACAGGTCTCCTGGTGATGCCCCGAGAGCTGAACTGTAGTTGAGTATATCCATCTTCATCCACATTTGCTAGCTCAGAACTGTACTCCATTGCTCTATTGAGTTTCTCAACTTACACAGCCTTTGAAAGCTCTTCTCTCTCTTCTAAGATAACTGCCTGTGGACAAAAGAGGATCTATGAGTCAAACATGTGAGATACACATGGATTGAGCTTTAACAAGTTGAGCTTAAGTAAGTAGTCCAACCAGTTATCCAAAAGCAGGAAATGAAAACTATGTTGTAAGTTCCCATTTATATCTTTAGATCCTGTTTCTGAGACTAATGACTCTTAGGAAAATTATAAGACAGCACAATATATAGGTCTTTATTTCAGACCAAAAATAAGAAACAAAAATATTACTTTCTCTAATGCTGTTGTCATTATTCTCACAAATAAATCTGACATCATTAATTGACTTGACTTATGTAAACTATTAAACAATTTTGGTACCTTAAGTTCACCATTACTTTGTTTACTATACATTCATTCATTTATTCAAGTACTCACTCATTCACTAAACATATATTGAATGCCCATCTATTCAAATAGCAGGAACTGGGGATACAAGGATAAATGAAGAAACTCATTGTTTCATAGAGGAAACCTTCAGATAGGTATATGAAGGATACCATAAAGAGGTACATTGTTTTAACAACATAGACACTAAGCAAATTTCTTTGGGATTTGTCAGGGATTAATAATACTTTGTATTTATTAAACAGTTACTTTGAGCTAGGTACTCTGAGTGTGTTTTCTCATTCAAACCTAATTTTCCAAGTCCATGCGATAGCTATTATCTTTCCTATTTTTAAGTGAAAAAGATAAGACATAGTAGGACTTTTAGTCCCTTGCTCAGTTTTAGGAAGCTAATAAAAATATTGAAGCAAGAAATTAAACTAACATCTACTCTTGCTGCAAAACTCATGATCTTTTATGTTTTGCTACACTGCGTGCTCCACCAGTTCATACACTTATATTGCTAGTAACATTATGGAGAATTCTGGGCCTGAAATATTATACTAAATGTTTCTTTTTCTCTATTCCAATTGCCATAGTAATACCCTCTCCCCCAAAAAACACTTCTCATTGCTGGAAGCTAGAGAGGTACCCAAGTCATTTGCAAGACTTTGAAGCAAGCAGAATGAAGGAGGCATGTAATGTTCAAGCAATGAGGACTGATTTCCTTCAGTAATCCTATTACAACACAGACAAGGACCCAGCTTGAACTGAACTCAACTTCCCCAAACCAAAGACTAGAGACTTTTAAAGACTAGAGTGTGCTAAGAAAAAGTCACTGAGTGGCATTAAGGGGGCTAATCCATGTGACTAAGCCATCTGGGTTTATTAATTATGCTTATCCAGAAGAGTAACAAACTTCTCTCCTTATAACAGGACGCAGTGGTGCCTGCTGAAGCTGGGTGGTGCTTCCACTGACCTTACACACCCTTAGCCTCCCTTCCACAGGGACTGGAAGAGCAAGAGTTATCTCCCTCCCTAAATCCCTGAATGTTTGCATTCCAAGAGATGTCTCTAAAGTCCTTGAAGAAAGTTTTTAGGGGTAGATTTATATCTCAAAGGGCAGAGAAAGAATTTGTAATGGCAAGCTTTCTAAAATAACTGCTCTAGGAGGGGATGCAGGAGCCTATCTATCACTAAGTTTTGACTGAAAGAAACAGTACGTTCTCCTGGAATCATTGAGCTTTCCTAGGCAGGCATTTTTAAGGGGCCTGGAGTCAACATAGTGTTACCAGCGTTGGGGTTCTTGAGTTCTTGAGAAATTGAGAGGAAACCTCAGAGAAATTTCCAGACAGATTTTATTAAGTTTACACTCAAGCACAAGGGAGGCAGCACAGAGGAACAGAATGTCCCTTAAACTGGCTTGGGGACTGCCTGCTCTTATAAGCTGGAGACAAAGTAAGCTTGGCGAAACTGTGGGCTTTTTGAAAAGGCGGGCTGGTGAAGGGTTTGGGAGTGGAATTTTCTGTGTCAGGGTGGAGTTACTTCCTCCCTCTGTGTGGAAGGTTGGCAATTATCCTGTGCTGTGAAGATGGTGGTGTTGCTCATTACTGCCACCTCGGGAAGGCCACGTAGCTGTCAAACCTTGATCAACTGTGCACGCCAGTCAATACTTTCAGCAGGCAGTTAGAAGGAAGATAAAATCAGTTACCTCTGTGTCTTTGAGTAAGAAGTGGAGAGGTAATGACATTTTTATGGTCAGTGTATCCCAAGTTCCTTCTGACCACCTGGTCTTAACTTGGCTTCTTGGCCACCTGGTATTTTTCATCTGGGACCCAACCAAGTCCCTCCCTATGCTGTCGCAGTAGAGGCATGACCTTAAACAGCTAGATGCCATGCTAGAGCTTGTCAAGAATCTCTTAGTGCAGAAGTTTGGACGAAGCTGGTATAGGCCAAAAGTTCTGCCGTTCTCACTAACAGATATCAAAATGGGAGAAAGTGCAGTGGAGAGCAAATGAGTTTCTTTCCCTAACCCAGCCTGCCAGAAAAGTTTTACTAACTTTAATTCAGGCATTAGTTATAGTGCTATATTGGCCATAAGCTTAATGTTAATGAATCAGCAATATAAATTAACTAAGGTGTCTTTAAACAGAAACACATATAAAACAAGTTTGTATAGTAATCTGTTGACAAAAATGTGACCAGGTGCTCATAGGAACCTAACCTTGTATTTTCCCCAGAAGCAATAGTTATTCAGCATTCTCTGTGACTTTATAGAACTTTACCATGAATAACAATAATTGACTGTGTAGATAAATAATCAGATAGTTTTAAAACTTAACAGTAACCACAATAATTGTTTAAAGCTTTGGCCAACAAAGATATTTTCAGGGATTATTTTATCACTGACATTGTTTAGAGTTGCTGGAAAATGGTGATAATAAAAAGCAGACTGACTTCTAGTACATTTTATTATTTCTTTCATTCTCTGCAGACAATTCACCACCACCACTTTATTACCTGCTGAACACTCCTTGGAATATCTTCTCTTCCCTAAAGATCCAAATAATCTAATGCCTGACTACCTTTCTAACTTCAGTTCCTAACCATCTTCCCTTCCCTGTCTTGAAACACTGGCCTTCTTTTTTATCGCAGGCACATGCCATTTTGTTCTTGTCTCAGGGACTTTGGACTTACACTGTGGCTGATATGCTTTGCCTTGAGAAATTTGCATGGTGGGACTTTTCTTGATAATCAGTTTTCATTCAAATATCACCCTCTCTGACAGGCCTTCCTTAGTTACTCGGTCTGAGGCAGAATACAACCAGAGTGCCTGCCCATCAGTCTGAATCATATCACACAGTTTTTCTTTTTCTTCAGAGCACTTGATAATATTTAAATATATCTCATCTGTGTATAGACTCAGATTAGACTCACCTGTACACATATTTATAAATTCCATGAATTAAGAATCTTGCTTGTCTTGGTCACTGCTAGTTTCTAAAAACCTAAACTAGCTTCTGATTCAATGTAGGTTATCAATAAATATATATTGGGTGGATGTATAAAAGAATGTGCCTAAGTAAATTAAGATACTTTAAAAGTAATAATATATGTACAAAATATATACAGGTATCTTCATATATTGTAGCCTAAAATTACTGAATTCTATTGCCTGATTTTGTTCATAAGCTCCAAAAGGACAAGCATTCTATCTCTATTGGTGTTCTGAGTCCAGTGTCTAGCATAGTGCCTTAATAGTCCTGTCTAATGGGGAAAATGGACCAGAAAACAATTATGCTTCTTATGAACGAAGAAATAAACTATAGATAATTCCAACTTCTAGCCCCAAATCAAAACAAAACCAAGTTGTCTTTCTTCCTTCCTTTTTTCCTTCCTTTTTTCCCTCCTTCCTTCCTTCCTTCCTTCCTTCCTTCCTTCCTTCCTTCCTTCCTTCCTTCCTTCCTTCCTTCCTTCCTTCCTTTTTACATTTCAATATTATTTTGTATTAGTTTCAGGTATACAGCATAGTGGTTATCACTGTAATTAGATAGTTATTAATATTAATAATAGGAGCAAAGGGGAGACCAGACATTATAAGCATGGTCATTTGGGCAGCTTCACCAGGAAGCTATAGCTTCATACTCCTCAAGGAACCACCGGTCCATTCCCTGCAGATCACTGGGGGAAGAGTTCAAAAAGAGGGGGAGATGGGTGTATGCACAGCAAAGTCAGGGGTGGTGTAGGGAAGGTGTTTGCTTGTTAGTCTGACCTGGGAAAAAGGTAATTGGTTAAGGGGATGAAGCCACTGAAAGCACTCAAAATCTTGAAGGGTTAATTGATTAAGCTCCTGGTTATAATCCCCAAAGAGTTCCCTCTCTCCTACCCACTCTTGCACCTCTTGTTCTGCTCTTGCTGTGTGACCTGCATTCGCCCCTGCTCTCACTTGTTCTCTCTTCATAGCCATGTGGCCTTAAGCAGCCTCATGGCCCAGGACCATGCAGACTCCACATGCAGGATGCTGGACTGGGCCATGTTTTAATATGGAGCAAAGACTCTAGCCAGTGGCCTTAATTCTTGCCCTGCTGAAGACAAGATTGGTCTTTTTTTCATGACAGGATGGAGGGAAATGCAACATTGGAAACCCAGGAGTTTCATTCCATGGAAATAAAGATCACTCACCCTCCCTGTGAGTCTCAGGAAATTCCTTTCCTTGCAACACCACAAGAACTCCACTTCCATGAGTAACAGATGGGGTGCAGAGGGCACCCAACTGATAAGAGATAATCATATACTTTACAAAATGTTCTCCCTGATATTTCCAGTACCCAACTGCCATCATACATAGTTATTACAATATTATTGACTATATGTCCTGTGCTGTAGTTTACCAAGTTGTTTTTAAATTGCCTTTGAAAAGCCGGGGAGGGGGCGGTGACTAAGAATGGTTGGTGCTATTTTGAAGTGAGAAGTTTTTTGTATGTATATTTGTTTGTTTGCTGTAAGTTACATGTGACGTTATCCCTCTTCCACCCACAGTGGCTCTTCCTTCTCTGCTTTTGTTACAATATTGCCATCCATGTTTTGGTTGAATG